TCTTTCATGGGGTCAACTTTTTAGCCAGGCTAGAAGAATGTTTCTCTACAGATTTAAAAGTCTACGCATTTGGTGGTGGGAAATGAGTGCACCACTTCTTCTTGTGCCTTGAAAAACTTGGCACATCAGCCCTTTAATATGGTTCAACCTGACTGAGAGGATGAAAAAATAATTCTTTTCCTAATTCATTAATGACTTTCTTGCAAAGACAATATTACAAAAAAACACTGTTTTCCCTAAGGTTTCTAGCAAGAAGATTTGCAGAAAACTCTTTAGTTTGTATTGGGAGAGTGGCAGGGGGAAGAGAAAGAAATAAAGAATGTACTTCCAGTTTGCCTGATTAATTGTAGTCAGAAAGTTTTGTTTGATTTCCCATTCCTGGTTGTTAAAGATTTGCAATTAATTTTAAATAGTTAAAATTCCCATACATTTGCTGAGTGAGTTCATCTTCAAGGATCATATGCAGAAAAAACAAATTTTAGCCTTTTAGATAAAACTGTCAGCATGAAATTTTGCTCAGCTGTGTTCTACAAACAGCAAACTCAATACCCTTTTGATTTTCTATCACATTTTAATTCTACACATCTAGGTTGTGACCAGAATCCAGGCACAAATACCAGCAGATATTTGGAGGGAGAGAGATGTCATTGCCATCTCTATGAGGCATCTTACACTTTGGGATAGTCGTAAAGGGACTCCAATCTACATTGCTGTAAAAACATTCTCTTTTCCCTTGTCCAGCCCTTAGTGTGTTCTCATAATGTAAAGTTTCTTAATGTATTCCTACAGCACCCATCAAATTTAACCCACCAAAACCACATGCCTTTGAGCACACATAATAAGGTAACTTATTACTGCAACTACCTGCAGTATAACAACTGTGATTTTAAAGCTGTAACAAAGATATTTTAGTAAAATGAAACACCATCCATTTTCAAAAGAAAAAGAAAAAAAACAAAAACAAAAGCAAAAATCTCCAACACCATGCTGGAGAAGGAAGAGAACAGAGAGAACAGAATTAGTATTATCCTTTTCAATGTCTCTTTATTTTATAAAATATTGCACGCAAGAGTTACACAGGTTGAGATAATGAGAAATGTACATCTCTGCTAGGGACGTCTTTCAAAGCCATCATTCATGAAGATATAACAAACAATCACAGAATAATAACTAGTATATTCCCCTGGGTAAACGAGATGAGACAGTTACGTTTAGCCCACACAGTGTTTGAGAGGATCTGAATTAATTTGATCGTGTTGTAAACAGTGTCCAATCATTTATGGAATTTAAGCTTATAAAAGTGCATTTTAAATGCAACTGTCAAATAAGGGCACAGGAACATAAAAGGATGTCTGTGTTGTTCAGTTGGTCAGGTTTCACAATATGTCACCAAGGATAAAGATGTATATGTGCTGCCAGCGCTCAAGGCAGCACACTTGCAAAGGGAATGGGTACATCAAATGTGCTGCAAATCCTTTTCTTGGGGGTCTCATCCAGTGCCCCAGATTGCTGGCTCCCTCTGCTCTCAGTGGGAATGGGAGCCAAAGCACCAAAAAGGTTCATCTTAAACTCATATGTTAGTATGGTCCCTGCACAAGGGTGACATGCAAATTCATGAAGCATTCCATATTTTTTGGGCCAGTGTGGACAGAACTAAATGTAGAAAAGTTTTCTACCTTGCAGCACAGAAATTTTCTAAAATGAAGACAAAAATGTTCACTTTTGATTCATCCTCTCTCTCCACATGAATTATAAATCCAAACTAGAAAAGCAAAATATTTTTGCTTCCAAGCAACTTTTTTGAGCGACAAATTTTTCTTGCTCTTTTGCTTTATCATAATCCCTTTGTTTACGCCCATTCAAAAAAATTGTGTTACATGACAATTGCACAGAAAGTCTAGAAGAATCTGGCATAGCACACTGTGTAACATAGAATGAAGACAGCAGAATCTTAAACAGAAGGAGGAGAAAAAAATCTGTGAAAGGAGGCGTGTCATGAAAGCAGTGAACCTCCAGCTCCTAGCAAGCTGAAAAGCACACAGCAGAAGGAAACAGTAAAATCCAGCTAAGGCAGCTGAAGTCCTGCTACAATTTAATCCTCCAAGTACAACACCATCTAGGTGCTAAGTCCCCCTGCTGGATCAGTCCACAAAAGCGATTACCATCCCTGCAGAACATGCTGCTGAGAGCTTCTCTGAGTCTGTCTTCAAATGATCTTTTTCCTCCTGCAAGAAAGGAAGCTTTTCCCATCCTGACCTGCAGACACTGACTACCTGACCCCTCAGTACATGCTTATAGTGCAAAGGCTGGAATGCTGGATGAGGAAAACCAAATTTTCCACTATTATCCTAAATAGGGGGCCACTGAGACAAGCATTTGGGCTAGGAAAATGAGATAAAAAGGGCTACACTTCCAATTTTATGGGAATCTTTCTTTCACAAAGAAAGTGAGTGAAAATTCCTAGAGTGTGACATTACAGGCAGCTAACAAGAAGAAAACTGATTTTGAAATAATTTTCCTGGGGGAATGGGAGAATGAAAAACTGAAGGCATCACTGGGATCCTAGAAGGCAGAAAGGCAGTGTGTCCGCCACTGTAAATGGGTGTGTTTGTTTACATTTAGCACATGGTGCAGACTTTGCACCTGTTACTGTGCGCTTTTCTTAGCGTAAGAATCATTCCAGCTTCAGAAGAGGTGCTGGGTACCTGGACCCTCACCACTACCCACACACACCTTCTGACCCTGCCCTCTCTAAACAGGGTGACAAAATGCCTGATGCATTGAGCACTGCCAGGATCTTGAATGTGCCCCCTCCCTTACAGAGATGATGCAAGTCCTGGGCTCCGTATTTGGTGATGTATTTGGTGATGCTGATGCTGTATCAGCTCCATCCTTCCAGGCCTGCCTCCTCACTTCTGCCTTCTCAAAACAGGGAAGATAGACAGGGAGCTGATACAACCCAACAAATTCAACAGTGCGCACTGCAAGGTGGTCATAATGTGGTGAAAAGAGCTATATAAGGAACGCCAGTACAATTTTTTATTGAAGTTGAGGGCACTGGGATTTTCAAGGGTATTTGTCTTTAGCACTAAACCTCAGTAAATGTTGTGTGATAGCAGCATGATGCTAGGACTGCTAAATGAGTGAAACAGCACTGGCCATTTTGTGCTTACTGTGCAGACACTACTTTAGCACTTCAACATTTTGCAGCCCAGACCTCTTTTCTTGCCATTGTCCTTCGTAATTGCAAGCTCTTTGCTCCAATTAAAGGCAACACCAGTGGTCTGAAAACATTAAATCATGCTGTTTTGGCCACAATTGGAACAAACGACGTTATATGAGAAAAAACCAACAAAATCAACAAAATAAAAACCCAAACAAACAGGAGAGCAGCAGAGGAAAGTATGATTTTTCCAGTTATGTTCTTTATAATGATTCATAGACCTTTCCAAGACCTTACCTTTCAGAAAACATAGATAGCTACACTCTGCTGCTGCTCTCTTGGTAGGCTAAACCAGTGTGTCCAAGTTACAGAAGCCTCACTAAAACACTCACTCATTTGCACTCCTGCTCTATAGTCATAATGCACATCCCTGCCTCAGGCTACATTTCGCATCAGCAGTGGGGCTCTGGGACAACTGCTCCTCACTCCACAAGGAGCTAAAAGGTTACACCCATCACCAAAGGAATAAAATTTACTCTGGCACTGAAGTATCCATCACAATTTGGAGAAACATTTGGTGTTTGGAGATGGGCTGCAGGTTGTTACTGAGGCAGTCTCATCTTTGCTCTGCAGATTCTTCTTGCAAACGTTCTCTACCTTCTCCTAACTGACAGGTTGTCTCTGAAGGATGCTGGTGGCAGACATCCACCTTTCTTACTTCTCTGTCTCTAAATTGCAGCACAAGGAAAGGTGGCCAGCAAATATTGTAATTGGACTTAGGAGAGTCTGTCAGGAAAGGAAACCAGAAACAGGAGGCAAAGATTGCAAAAGAAATGGAAACAAGCAATTAATACAACCTGCTATGCCTCTTCAGAGGGGATTCATTTCTTTCTGCTTTTGGCATGTTGAGGACCAGGCAGTGGCAAATAAATACACCTTGGATGCCTACAAGGTGCAGCACCAGGCCTTTGGGATGAATTTCTCCCACAGCATCAAATGGCATTGTAGCTTCAGGGGAAGGTAAGTAAGATGTACTGCAATGCTTAAGGAAAGGTTTTAGATGAGCCTTTAGCAAACATCAAGTGAACATAACTCTGGATTTCCCACACTGGAAAATGGAAAGTGTCATGCTCAACAGGAATTTGCCTGTCTCTGTAACAGAAGATGCAGGTGGCTGCCCAATGGTCCAGCAGGCTCCTGTTTTGACTCTGTCAGTATTATTGTAATGAGAGAGAGTGAAAGTTAAAAGGAAGATGAAAGTGGCCTATGGCTTCAGAAACATCCTTTTTCTGCAAAAAAGACTGAGTATGCAAATACAAAATAGTAAACAGTACATGAAAATAACATAATAAACGGTATCCCCAAAAGAAGATTGAACTCTGCAACCTTTTTTTTTTTTTAAATAATACTAGAAAATGTAAGAGAAACAGGGTAAAAAGGTAAAAGCCAAGAGTGTAAATGCAGAAGGGCATGGTGGGATCTCTCAGGAAGGGAAGAAACAGTGCTTAGGAAGAAACATTAGTTTGCCTTCCCTAGTCTACTTTTTGCTCCTGGAAATGCTAAATATAAGTACTGACTTAGTATGACCAGCACTCTCACCAACCTGAGGAGTCCTGTCTTAGTGGCTAAAGGTCAGCCCTGCTGTTTGGGAGGTACAGTCCCACTCAAAGAGGTGCATAAAGGGGTACAGTCTGTGTTTCATTTTTGGCTATGGAACAAGTTCTTTTCTCCTCCCTGAGTGAGACACTGTCTGAAGGCACCATCACTCAGGAGCTCTTGGGCTGGTCCAAGTCAGTCTAAATAGGTGGACACAGGAGACGGGAGGGAACTGTATCCCTCAGACAGACATGTTGGCCACGGCCCTCTCATACATGCGCTCCAAGATGCGGTGGATGCTGGCAAAGCCTGGCCGGTCGGCAGGCAACTTGCTCCAGCAGAGGCGCATCAGGTTGTAGAGCTCCAGAGGACAATTGTCGGGGCAGGAGAGGACATTCCCATCCCTCACGTAGTAGATGACCTCTTCGTGAGCCATCCCATAGTAAGGCTGCATGCCGTAGGAGAATATCTCCCACAGCACCACCCCATAGGCCCACACATCAGATTCCGTGGTGTAGCGGTTGTAGAAAATGGACTCAGGGGGCATCCAGCGGATGGGGATGGCATCGTTCTCGTTTGCTTTGTAATAGTCAGCAGAATACATGTTCCTTGAGAGACCGAAATCTGCAATTTTCACCACCATGTTCTCCCCCACCAGGCAGTTTCTGGTGGCCAAATCCCGGTGGACGAACTTGCGCTCGGAGAGGTAGGCCATGCCAGCAGCAACCTGCTTGGCAATGCAGAGCTGGCTGGTGCAGCAGAGCGCCAGGGGGTTCGGGAGGCGCAGCCGCGTGTCCAGGCTGCCCTGCGCCAGGCTGCACAGGTTGCGGGGCGAGCGGTCACGCAGGTACTCGTTCAGGTCCCCGTAGGCCATGTACTCGAACAGCAGGCACATCGGCTTCCCAACCGCGCACACGCCTGCCAGGGCACACACCACACGGGTCATTTGAGCAGCAAAGAGAGTTTTGCTGTGCAAAAGCCGCAAAACACAAAAGGGAGGCTTTCTACAATGCAGAGAGAGAGCCATGCAAATACCACCCACTTCGCACGCATCCATCATGCGTGCTGCCTCTTTTCAAGCTCCTGCATCAGGGATCTGATGATGAGCTCCATGGGTGATGCTTACAAATCATGCACATGCCTGCATGCAAAATTTTTCTCAACATCCTGGTTAAAACACAGAGTTTTGGAGCTACGTTTAATGAAGTACTTAGGCAATCCCGCTTAAGTTAGTATTAACTAAAGTATTGAATTGCCTCTTCCCAGGTGCAACTGCAAGGACTTTCAGGAAGTAACCTTTAAAGTTCTGATCAAGTTACTTTTTAATTCTTATATTTCTTATGATTGTTGTGTTGTTAAACAACAATATTGTTGTAGGGGTGACACATATGCAGGAAGACTTCAAAAGTATTCACAAGGGGCATGTTCAAGGGCTCAGTGGAACTCTTGAATTGCAAGGAAACTCCTGCCCTTACGGATTTATTTTTTTTTAACAACTCATGCAAAAAAAAGTTGGTTGTGGAATTACTTTTGGCATGACAGATATTCAAAAATGAAAGAAAGACAAATCAAAAGCAGACAACAGAAAGGAGACATTTGCCATGTCTGTTAGATGTAGAATGCAGTCCTACATGCTTGGCACTTTATCAGCTTTATTGGTGGGCCAGCATTAACCACACTTCCACGAGCCTTACTGATCATACAGTGATACAGTAATATTTGTGCACTCACCATTAAAATGCTAACCAGCAAAAGCCAACATTTAAAATGTATGTGTTTTGCTTTCTTAGGATCATCATTTAGCAATTGATGATGTAACTTATTGTGAAATCTGAAATTCTGATTGATGTCCTAATATTTGAATCTTTGAGGAAAAACAAATGGCTGCTCCCACTCTGATGACATCAGGATCTGACAAGTGTACGTGAGAGATTTATCATTTAAGCTGTTTTCAACAATGTGGCTATTTCTCCACAGCCCCATGAGCTGGTACTAGTTTGTGCCTATACCTTTGTCCTTTTCTGGCCTAAAATGTGTTAACAATAAACACAAAGTTTAGTCCAGTTTAGTGCTCTTTCTGCCTTTCATTTCTGTAGCCAAAGTATTTGTATCAACCCAGCTTCCCCAAAAATGTGGTTTATCCATCTCAAAATGTTCTGGAGCTTCCTACTGAAATAAATTAAGATCTCAAATGTCCCTGTTCACGAGAATCAGATCTGCATACAGCAAATTAGAGCAGTACTGCCAGATAAAAGTGGCCAGCAGCATCTACTTCAGAAAAAAAATTTACAATCTTCTAAAAGAATATTTTTTGTCAGCAGCTTTCTTCTCAGAAAGTGTCTTATTAGTCAAGCTTGAGCATCAAGACTTTCTAAAAAAATCCAACAAAGAAGGATGTCCTTTCAGATGAGAATGGAAGGAAAGGAAGAGGCCGTTTTTGTGGCTGGCTTTTTGTTAATTTAATTTTGTTTTTTTAATGCTATTAAGTGTTCGGACATCACAATAGTAAGTGGGACATATAAAACTAACAAGACTTGTAATATTTATTTTCAGTACCCACAAAATAAATCACAGTTCCAGGAAGTTCACATCTTGCCTGTAAGACATCTGGGTCAAGGTTATTAGACTGGAAGCAGAGTTAGGCAACAAGATGGCCAGCAGTTTACCCAGTGGCATGAGGAGGTTTTGATGTGATGCACCCTCTTGTTAAGGCAACAGGATGCCTCACTGAGATACCTAAAAGCTTGACGATGTTAGGATTGTCAAACTCTGCCATGAGAGCTGCTTCCCTCTGAAAGTCAGCCTGCATGTCTGCAGATGCTTCCTCCTTCAGCATTTTCACTGCTACCATGGTGAAAGGTTCATATGGCAGCAGCCCTGGGGCCCTGCAAGGAGAGGCAAGAGAGGAAACCATCAGTGATGAATACATGCACACTAAATATAGGCTCTGTTTCTGATGCAGAAGGAGAGGCTGACCAAAGGGAAAAAAAAAAAAAAAAGGGAGAAGGACCCAGAACCAACAGAAGGAACCTTAAAGCCCAGTTTCATCAGTTTCATCTCTTGGAACTGTAATATGCATTGCAGAGGCATTTAATTTGGTTCAGGTAGGACTAAATTCAATATAGCTTTTTTTGATCACTGATCTTGCTCCTTACAGACTCATTACCGTGTCTGCTAAAGACATAAATAAGGAACAGGTTGGTAAGAAACAGCTGCTCTCTAGGCTGGAGATCACATCATAAACTTAATGGAGGACAGATGAACTCTTCGGCCCGAACAATTCACTTTTGGGGTATAACAGTGGAGTTAAAAATAAACCTATTTTTTATTAAATTGATGAAAGAGCCTCCTTTCCCATACCTGGCACAGTGGTGACTTTGGTATATCTGGCTAATATTAGAGTGAAAGTAACAATTACAGGAAGTGTATTCCCTTGGTTTTGTAAGGAAAATAGCGTTTTGATACTGTTCTCTGTGTGTGTGTGTGTGTGTGTGTGTGGCATGTGTATGCACCTTTAACAAGTTATAAAACCATTTGCTAATTTCAGCTGGATTTAATGTGGTGTACCTGAGGTTTAGAAAACAGTTTATATTGCTTCAAGATTTGTGGAAACATGTGACAGGACAGAAGGGACAAAGCAAGCCTGTGCCTTGTCTGAAGAACAAGTTAATGTGTAAATACACATGTTTTGATACTTGTGAATCTTCAGCTAAAGTTTATAGACACAAATCCTTGGGAAACAGAATCGTGACTTTGAGCAACAGATTTCTTTTCCTATCCATAGGATTCCCTGCACCCTCAACAAGTTTAATTATTTGGGCATGCCAAAGATTTAGGGGTAGCTGTTGCTGGAGAAGAGTAACTTTCCACTTTCAAACATGCACTAAACCTCAGATGTACATTTTGTTTCCTGCACAAATTCTTGCCAGGGGCCTTGCAGCTAACACACATTCCTTACAGGTAGCCAGCCAGAGCCAATGGGGAGTGGTGCCCATTTATGTGTCACGTTGCTGCACCAGCCTGACTGCCCTCCCGTTGCTTGAATGCCAGGTTATTTTATTGCTCAGTAGCACTAGAGGGGACTCCAATTTCCAAAGCAAACTTCCAGCTTCCTTGTCTTCTACTTCAGATGCATGGCAGTTGCAACAGTTGTACTTGGATGCTGTAAATGTCAAATGTCACTGGATGGCAGGGTGTCCATCAAGAAAGGAATCAGAGGTGGCTGGATCACAGCTGAGACACTCAGCAAGGAGGTCTGGCATGCCAGAGCGGAGGATCAGGCCCCACACTTGTCTGCTACGCTTCCATTATGGCACAATGTCTTCCTTCTTTTTCCCCGTGCTGGCAGCAGTTCCCTGTCCAGTAGGAGGGGAGGAGTACGAGCACCTGCTGTCAATTCTCAGCACTAGAGCCAGCAACAGCAGCCTGAACAAAGCAATAGGGGTTTTAAAAGTAAAAATAGGAGGGCTTTATATCTTCCAAATAGTCTCAGAGATTGCCACTCATCTCTGACTAGCAGACCCAGCACAGTGCCAAAGCAGGGATGGGCAGGCTCAGTCCTGACTGCTTTGGAGACAGAAACTCACCCCAGGCTGATGTACACCCAACCACCCAATTTCACTAAATTCTGTAATGTAAACTAACCTAAATGTAGCCAAGTGAGGTTAAGCTACACAATGCCTTTTAAGTAGCCCTCAGGCAAAAGCCAGAAATTTCACCTTTGGTAGCTCATGGTGATGCAGTACCGTTCTGAGCAGGCCTGGGAAACTCGCACTGCTCTGGCACAGAGGCAAGAACTGTCTGAAGTCCTGTCAGACAGCTATCAAATGTGACCTCTTTCATGCCCTAAAGACTGTCTTTGCACAAATGATAGGGGCACATCTGCACGGTAGCAGCAGGAAGCAGCTGCCTCTGAACCTGGAGAATTCAGCTGGAGGGCCAGAAGGCAGAGTGTTTTTCAAAAATTAGGCTAATTCTCTCCTAGAACAGGGAAGCATCAAAAGAAATTACTTTAGGTAATCTCTCTTGCAATTAAGGAGGAGAAATTTACACTGCTCATGCATAGGGTGGACAGCAACAGTCCTTTGCCTGCTTCACTACCAATGGATTTGTGCACTGGAGTCATAAATTGGCATTTCAGTGCATGCTTAAAGAACTAACCAGCGGTGCAGCTAGGAATTTCACTCTGAGCCTATCTAGAGAATGTCTGACTGAAGTTCCCAGTCAGGTTTTCCTTCCTAAGCAATGTTATGAGTAGAACAGCTGCCCATTTTTTGAAAAGGTTGCAGAGTTCACAGGTTGGGCTAGTTGCTGCCAGGGTGGAGTTCTAACTGTTTGTTATTGTAATCACCTGTTGTTTTCATTAACTACCTGTCCTTGATGAATTCCCCTTCTGTCGAGTGGCACCCTGCTGCTTCCTGGAGGATGGCACCCAGATGGTGGAGGGGAAGGGGTGCCGAGTCGGCATGCAAATGACATCATTTACAGCATGCAATGGGATGGACCCCTCACCAAACCTAGACAAAAACCCCTAAAACAACAAGCCAACACAAAATTGATGAATCAAAGTGATGACTGGGTGTGAGGAACAGAATCTAGTGTCCGCCAAGGCCTTTTTACCCCTCACCCTAAAATGAAGATGTTGGCTAGACAGAGGACCTCGAATGTTGAACGGAATAGCAAGGGATTTCCCGATGATCTCCTGAGGAAGGAATACCCAGCTCTGCCCACAGACCAGTGGACAAAGCTGCACTCTTCCTCCTCCTCCGAGAGCACGCACCCGTTGTTTCTCCCCACCTGAGCTGATCAGTTTTAATAAAGGCATTGATAAGGAGAAAGGTCTCCTGCCTGTGTCTATTTCAAGCAGCAAATATGTTAAAAAAAATGAGGAGCAGTCTGAACCTGTATTTAAGACTCTGTCCTGTCCCCATCTTGCTCACCATAACAGTTGGGCAGCTTCTCTTAGATGATTAAATAATGTAATTAACATCTACTGAGTCTGGTGGGAGCCTACCTTTTCCTCATTCTTTTGTTCAGTTAATATGTGAGCAGGAGACTGCCCTGAATAAGCAGGAGCTGCTTTTTGAGGAGGAAGGGAAGGTTGGATTTTGGTTTTTTTAATAATTAACACCCACACTATTTTTCAGCTATGTATGAAACAGCAGGTCAAAAAAATACGCTTTGCAGATAGAGAAAACATGAGGAGACTTCTGTCAAGAAACTCTGACCTTAGGAACAGCCCTGTTCCTAAGGAGGAACAGCATGTTGTGCATTTGTAGTGCAGGTCTACCAGCCTACTAGCAAAACCTCCATACCAACCTACTGGCAAAGACTCCACATCCAGGCTTTTAGGCAATCCTGATCTTCAGGCTTTGTCTGGACCACACAGCTCAGCTCTGGAAGAAAACCTGCATGCTAGTCTGCACTGAACTGCACAGAGCTGGTACTCTGGTGTCTTGTGAGGCCAGTGGGGTCCTCCCAGGAGGAGAATCAGCCACAAAGACCTATCTGGGACAGACCTGAGCCTGGTCCTGAATTTTGTTTTAAGCATGGTTCCTTCCTTATCCTTCCAAGTGTGAAGCTGTTCCTGGTGAAGACAGTAGCCTTTCATGAGAAGCTAGTAAATGATAGCTAGACACTTCCTGTCCTAACATGTTGCTTGACCCAGGAGTGAGTAAACACTGAATCAGGACTCAGAGCAGCCAACTGGCAAAGGCATCGCTGGCACTGAGTGCAGAGCTGTGTTTACAGAAGAGCAAGAAACATGAGAGCAGGAGAAGTAAGAGGATTGCTAAACTTAGCTCAAGATGTCCATTTAACACATGCAGGAGAGTACATTTTATCCTTCTGAGATGGGAAGGCAATAATTTGAGCTTTGATCATTTCAGTAACCTGGATGAACACACAGCTTATACTAGGACTGCACTGATCTCCCAGAAGTGCACAGAAATGTCTATACCTTATTATAAGGAATTATAAAGCCTTGGAGACATTTTTGATAGAGGTGGTAATAAACAAAGGAGGTCCCTAAGAAGCAATATTTCTGTGGATCCTTCCCTGAGCCAGAGAGAGCAAGCATCTCTCAAGATGATTCTCACTTTGCAAATGCTAGATGAGATGTAATACTTTCTTTTCTTCTCCTGTGTCTTTTTCTCTCAGTTTCCATTGACAATGACAAAAAGGCTTAATTGAAAGAAATTGCAGTGCTGAAGTGTATGAAACCCACATAAAAAGTCTTTACACCACTTTGGCACTTACTTAACTAGCACTTTAGTGACATTTGAGTGCCCTTTGAGAAGTCTTTCTCGATATCCATGAAAGTCATTTCGAGCTCAGAAAGGTCTGTGCAGCACTCAGATTGTATTAGACCTTCCAGCGCAGGGCCAAAGCAGCACTTGGGAAGGAGAGTGCCTGCCCTGCTGGCACAGGGGTGAAGACTCCTGTAGCATGAGCAGGAAGGTGCTGCACCTCAGGGCGCCCCGAGCACTGCGCTGAGGCTAGGACAAGAGCTGCCCTGTGCCCCTGGTGTGCAGTGCCCCAAGCACTGCTGCTGTGCAGCTTCTATAGCTGTGTTCTTGCTTCAAGCTCAGATGTGTTTGGCCATCCAGGACAGCAGTTCATCACAGGCTAGGCATTTGTGGCAATCCCACTGTGCACCCTTTGAATTTTGTTATTTTTAATTCCCTCTGTAATAAAAAAGTATGCTTGCTTTTCTTCCATTAGAAATAATTTATCTCTTCATTAGAAAAAAAAATCCACCACACCTGTCGAAACTGTTTCCCAGCTGTAACATGTCTAACCTGTACAGAACTAATTTTCTAGCAGGTACATCAACAGCTTAACTATAAATGTTACAAATACCTGCATTATGACTACTTTTTGCAAGATAGCCCTTTGCTTTGGCAGTCAACTGAAGCATTTCACCAAGCAGATCTTGGCTCATGGTGGGACTCTGATCCTTCCCTGGGTTTTTGTTGAGGTCATCATACACTGCTCTAGATACAGCCACAAAATCAGCCATGCCCCATGCTTGTTAACTGCAAAGGACAAAGATTACTGCCCTGACTAAGCAGGGAACTGTACAGCCTGTACATTTTGTTCTAGGAATTTGGGGATGGGACTTTAGGAGGAAACTATTATTGTCCAGATTGTCTTGCAGAAATTATGGATTCTGTCAAGAAAAACTAGATATCTTCCATCGTCCTCACTTTTGGGGCTGTCAATTAAAGATTTTTCACATTTGTAAAAGTGCACAACCTCACTTCCCATGATAATATCAGAACTGGACTGTCATCTAATATCTCAGGTTTAAAAGAGGTAACAGTGGCTGCAAATTCCAAAAATAAAAAGTGAGAAACTAACTAAAGGGGACACTGAAGAAGTCTAGAGATAAAGGAATTTATATGTGTTACTCAAACACTGATATCCAGATAGCCATGGAGCCAACCAAGGATTGTTATGACAGGAGGAAGGGGCCATACAGAGGTAGGGCAACATTTTTCTGAGACAAGGGTCCTTGTTCTGGCTCCTGGAGATAACCACAACACCAGCATCAGAGGTGCAGGAATGAGGCTGAGAAGTAGGTGGAATGGACTGCAAGGGGGGATCAAGAGCACCCAAGACCTTAAAGTCCCTTAATCATTTCCAGAAAGGTCTGGAAGAATGAGCTGCCCACAATAACCCACTTTGTATAGAAAGTGAGGAAATTAGCTCCAGGGCACATAAATTTTACTATAAAAAGGTATCCTTACAAAGCCTTGACACACATGTGCCCCAGGACCATAAACTTTCTGTCAGCTGAGTTGATGGTGGAGCCAGGACCACTGATCTTTTTTCCTTTTTTCCTTCCTTCCACCACTTGCTCTTTCTTTCTTTCTTTCTTTCTTTCTTTCTTTCTTTCTTTCTTTCTTTCTTTCTTTCTTTCTTTCTTTCTTTCCTTCTTTCTCTCTTTCTCTCTTTCTCTCTTTCTTTCCTTCTTTCCTTCTTTCCTTCTTTCCTTCTTTCCTTCTTTTTCTTTTTCTCCTTCCATCTTTAATCCATCTTTTTGTCTCTGTTCCTTTTCACACTACCCCTTTATTCAAAACCTTCTGCCCTGTGCTTATATAGGAGGTTAGGGACAATAAAAGAGCTATTTCCATGGAAGGCATGTAATTTGCTAATAAAAATTTGTACACTTTTGCAGATACTCTGGCTTTTGCAATTCCTTTCACCTACAAGCATCTGCAAATGTTGGCTGTGCATTTTCCATTAAGGCTGGGACACCACAGACACACAACCATATGCCCATCTCTGCACTGGCCTATGCAGGAAGGGTTTTTAGGGGATTTTTGGTTTGGTTTGGTTTGGTTTGGTTTGGTTTGGTTTGGTTTGGTTTGGTTTGGTTTTGCCGCAGAATCAAATTGCAATTCAGTTTGGACTGAACCATAGCATGATGCAAAGACTTGTGGTAATTACACAGGTCAGTACTGGTGTTGTAATGGAGATCACCACACACTGACAATTCATAAATACTGGGAAATGCAAGAACTTCACGATAGGTCACATGTTACAGGCAGTACTCTTGGCAAAATTTAGCTGAACTTTTGCACCAGATAATGTCAGTAAGGCATTACATCTACTAGAGAATAGAAAAGAGTGATTTGCAGCAAAAGTTTAACAAATATTGACAGATAGCCATGGACAACAAAAACAATTCTTCAAAAATGAGTGTTGTGTACCATTTGGTACACATGCATTTGAGTATTTGAGTGGATGGATAAATGGATGGATGGATGGATGGATGGATGATTTCCATGCTGATTTTTTCACAAGTACCTTCAGATAAAGAAGACTCACAAAGAGACTGCTTACCTGGCCTGGAAGACTCTCCCAAATGCTCCCTCCCCAATATCTCTCACATATTCAATATTGTTCCTGGGATACTCCAGGCTAAGCAATTTTGGATTGAGGAGAAGAGGCATGCGCTGGTACATGGGGTTGGGGTGCAGCCGGTCCAGGAGCAGTTCGGAGGGCAGAGTGGTGAGAGTTGGTGTCTCTGACTCTCTAAAACAACGGAGAGATTTTTGGTCAGTGTGTGCACAGCCCTCAGTCAGGAGATAACTAGCTTCATCTCCTCCTGAGTTTATTTATTTCAGGATGAGAAAGGAAGGTGCAGCAGGGCTACTGAAGGAACCTTGCAGCAAAGTGTCCATGTCCCTAGTCACCACCTTCTGCTCTGGCACAGGAGTTCAACAGAACTAACACTGGGCTGACACAGGAGGGCTGCTGTCCTCTCACAGGTGTTCACAGGACTTTTCTCTCAGAAACAAGAAAGCTCTTTTTCCAAAGCAGCGTTTCTTGCACTGAATTAAGTTCCAAGCTTTACCTTTTTTTGTTTTTCCACTGTTTTCGACGACGGCAGCAAACCAGGGTGATAATGCCAAAGATCACGACCAGGGCAAAGCTGGAGATGATTGAGATGATAACAGTCATGGAGTATGTAGGGGAAAATGGAGGAGGAGGAGGGGGAAGATTTAGAGTCTCTCCACTTGGTTTTCTTGTTCCCAGTGATAACAATGCTGTAATGCAAACAAAATCAGAGGGTTATGCCTCTGCTCATTTATAGAGCTTTCTCTAAGAGGAATTTACCAAGCTAACTTGTCACACTGGAAATTACTGACATTACATACAGTCCTATGACCGCATGAGAGGACCATACTAGGGAAGCTTGGTTTGCAGGAAGCAAAACCCATTTGTTTTTGCCTCGTGTCAAAATCCAAGATCTGGTACGACTAATATATAGTGCCCATTAAGTTGGGAACACAGTTTTGGTATAGAATATTTGCAAGAGTTACAAATGGGAGGTCACATCTGACAGTCTCAACAGTATTCAAATATAGTAATGTCTGCAGTGGGAAAGATCAATGGTGCACAATGTAAACCACAATGTATCATGTGTCCTAAAAGGAATCTGCAGAAGGACTGTAAGACCAAGTAAGTACAGAGTGATACTTTCCCAAAATATCCTCTTACCCCCAACAGTTTGCATCTCAGTGTCTTTATGGGGAAAATGTGGAAAAGCACACTTGGCTGAATTATTAGGGAAAAAATCACATAACTACCTGTGGAGTACCTTCTGAGATATTCTAGAAAATGCTGTTCTCTGCATGCAGTGTTTGAGAACAGAAAGAAATTTAAACTCTTCTTTTTAGTTGTCAGCTAAACTAAAAATTACTTGTGTTCACTTATGTCCATAGAACATAAGGGCAGTAAGTTTCCAAATGCAGTTTCTTATTTCTGAGCACTGAAATCCAGAAACTGGGAATCTTGGATGAAATTTTTTTTTAAATTTTTTCTGGTTTTGAACAAGAAATTACAGGAATACTTAGCTTCTACATCAAAAACCAAAGAGGCTTCCATCTTTTTATGGCTTATTTTTAGTTTAAATTGGGGAATTGGGGGGGGGTGGGCAGTCTTACTGAAAAAAATCACCCTAAACTAAACAACTAAACAACTTTGGAAAACAACCTGAAGCCCTACCTTCTAAACAGTGTGACAAATCAATTTTTCAGAATATCACAAAACATTTCACTTCATCTTTAGCATTTATATAACCTAGGGCAAGATGCTTGATTCATCTGTCTTCATTTTCCCCTCTTCATGGGGCACATTAAACCTTCTCATTAAAGATGCTGAATGAATCTGTGAGAAGACCCAGAGCTAGCTGAATCCAGAGGACAGAACAGATTGGTGTACCCAGGATGCAAACACCTAGCATGGCCCCGGAACAGCCACAGTGGCAGAAATCATAAAGTGCTGTTGCCTACCATCTCCACAGGGAGACACGCTGCAGTATTCCCAGGTCACAGCTGGATCCTTTGTGTAGCACCAGGGACGCTCATTCTCACCACCTGGGTTGCGGCAGTAATTCTCAGCATCAAACAGCTCTGGGAAAACCTGAGGAGTCCTCCTGTGCATATGGGGAGCCTTGGGGAAGGAAGCAAATTGTATTAGTGTTTCGGCATAATTTTCCATGCTATTATTATTAAAACAAAATTAAAAGAAAACCCAAAGGAGAGAATCAAGACAGAGCTTTTGGTGAAACAGCCATTTGGTTGCCTGAAATGACAGAGAACACATCTTGACACAGTAAGGAGAACTTGCAGATTGAAATATGATGAGGTTATAAAATGAGCTCAAGAATGAAGGCAACTTGTTCCCTGCTCATCCCTTGCACTGAGACTGGGCTGCCTGACTCTGAGAAACTCCTTGAAAAAGCAAACCTCAAGCACAGCTCTCCATTTGGTGCATCTCACACTGACACTCACCTGATCACTCCACTTCTGGCAGGGAATGCCAGATGCTGTGACGTTGGCTGTGCCCTGGTAAAACTGGCCATTGCCACTGTAGCAAGTCCCTGGAAGAGAAAAAAACCTGTAGGGTCAAGGCATTTCAGAACATGTCCTGCAGCAGATGCTCACAAGAATAAAGTTCATGTTGTTACATGAGACCATCTGACAGCATCAGATGTGAAGCACACAGAAGGACTAGACAACACAGAAAGGGCACTGCTTAGCCTCCTGTTTACACTCTAATGGATTTTGCACTTTACATAGGCAGAAATCTGGTAAAACTTCAAAGAGGGCACAGCAGCTCTCTCAGATTGAGAAAATAGGCCATGGGTCTGTGATGGTTGAACTGTAATAGTTCGCAGTACATCATGAAGAAAGTGCAGGGCAGAACCACACTGAATCCACTCTAGCCAAACCAAGGCAGAAAGCAAATCACAGCACTGGTTCCATGACTCACAGCCTGCATTCTTACTGGGGCACTAATAGGAAGACACTCATATTCCTCAGGTTGGTAGCAGGGAGCTGAAAATCATAAGGGTGCCTTCCTCCTGCTTCTCTGCAGTGCTTATCCTCTTTGATTATTTGGAAACAGCCTATGATTTTCTGCATGCATGGAGACAATACCCATATTGTCTGAACATGATCTGAACTATGATTTAAGGAATGGAATCAGTATAAAACGATGTTCCTTATAATGAAGGTAGTGCAGTCACTGCATATACAGGGCTTGTTCCAGCTGCAGAAAAATTAGGCAGAAAATCTTGAGATTTTACTGCAGGAATATGCATTAATGTCCTCACAGGATGTATGTCCTCACATACACCTGTCCCCATAGGAGAGTTTAATGTATGCTGGCATAATCTAGGAAGCAGAAAGACAGCAGAGGAGATGCAGCCTTACAGACTTCAATACATAGTACCTAATAGTACCTAATCTCTAGTACCTAATAGTACCTAATAGATAGTACCTAATCTCTAAACTCAGCTGAGCTGTGGCTAACATTGTAATAGATGGCATGTATTAAGGTCCATTGCATTGTTAGCCTTGAAAAAGTAACAAACCAGCACATTCTTTTGTCATAATTTTATTTTCTATTATGTTCATAATCTCGCAGCTCAGGAATAAAGAAGAACAAGAAGAAACATGATGCGTTCTAAAATAATGACTTTTTTAAGCAAATACTTTTCATCTTCTTGAACACTTTGTGTAAGGGTTGACCCAAATTTGACACAAGGCTATCTGTCTTTGTGGATTGTACACTTTCTCGTGTACCAGGACCATAGCCAACACAGCATCATGACTATCTGCTGTTTTCTTCTTGCACTCAGGTTGCAGTTATATATCGTGATAGACTCTCAGCTTACTGAGGCTTCAGCAGGTAGCAGACACCATACACCTGTAGGTAGGCACACTGCCTCTAAAGTGTTAACTCCAGTCCAGTGAGCTTAAACAAAGCATTGAGTTCATGTAGCCCTGAGGCATCTAAACACTTCAGTAGAGGATTTAAACTCATGACAAATGCAAAGTAAAATACTCTAAGGTGGATTTCTTTGGCTAATACATAAATACCATTTATGACTCACATTTGTAATAAGATAGCAGCCCCACGTGACCAGAACCTGTAGAGGTGCAACATCCTAATCAGAGGTGTTAAACTGTCCTGGAACATACTTGTGTACCTGAGATGAGAATTTACTTGTTTCACATTCAAAGACAAGGAAAGCAGTGCCTGAAACATACTTCATGACACAGCTAGTAATAAACAAGGAAAAGATTTCTGCACAGATTTGAAATAAATGTCAGTGGTACGCCTTAAAAGATTAATGTGGACACCTTTAGGGGCAGGAGCAACACTAAGAACCTCTGAATCTTTCATACTCTGGAAATGCAGATGTTTTCATAGACTGTCTTCCTACAATGAGGACAGAGGAATAATATAGCTGGTCCACCTGGACATTAATGAATAATTTGGTAACAAGCTAGAAAACAGTTCAGTTCATGCTCAACAAACCCCTGTGCACATAACAGTGGGTCTAAAGAAAAAAGAGGGGTGAATATTACTAAAATGCTACTATTATATCTTCCTGGTTCATGACTGAATAGTGTACATTTATGCAATGCCACTCTGGGAAAATGCTGTGGAAGCTGAACAGAAAAGTTCATGCATACACAATACACAGGAGACAGAGGATATATCCTGAAACAACTGTGGGGAGACTGAAGCCATCCCACAAATGCTCCTCTCATATGCTGACACCTCTCTCTTGTGGTTCCTCCGCCAGAGCAGGGAAGGCTGCCTTTGCAGGCTGTAGGCACTGGCCCAGAGGGCTCTGAAGCCCTTGTCTCCATGTCTGCATCACCAGGCCCCTAGGTGTGGGGTTTTGTCAGGTGAAGCCAAGATCCTTCCATGAAAGAACATTCCCCAATATTCATTTCCTTTTTTTTTTTCAGTTTGCCTCTCTCTGCATACATAAGGTGTGAGCCACTGCGAAATCTGCAAACCTCACCTGCTTAGATGCCTGGCAAGAGAGAGATTCCTTTTTCCAATGAGGCAAGTTCAGTGGCTGAGCTTGAAACTGCAATTGCACACAAGTGCAAGAGTTGGGTGTGCATGCTTCAGCCACAGCCAGCAGCAGGGGGGAGCCTGACAGAAGTCAAAGCAGCACTGCAGGACATGCCTGGGTCTCACCACTGGCCATGGGAGGTTCATACAAGAAACAGCCAGACTTCAGAGGTGATTTGAGGAGAGAGCTGGTAGCTTAAGGTCTTGCAAGGCCATCCTGACTTATAATAAAGGCATTAAAAGGAGAAAAAGTCTCCTGCCCTGTTTATTTCAAGCCTGTTGTTAACATACAAGGCTGGAACGACCTCAGAATCAGAAATCCAAATATAGATAGAGGGGAATGATAGGCAGTGGGTAGATAGAAAAGGAAACAGCTGGAGGGAAGGGTACCATCTAAAACCAGCATGCCTATCTCATAAAAAGTTACTAGCCCATGGTCTCCCCAACCTCCAAAGAGCTGGAAATGTGTTGTTTCCCCATGCCTCGGTCATGGAAACCCAGATATTCCTCAGTAACAATCTAAATTCAACCAGCCAGGACCAGCAGAAAACACAAAAACATGTGCAAATGGCAGCTTCAATAAAGAATATTCTGTCTCTAAAAACATAGAGTCTGGAGCAGTCTACTTACTGGTTATGTTCTCCTTCTTGAAATCTGTAAAAAGACAAGACAAGATGTAAGGAGGGATTGTCCAGGATGCAATATCACCAGATGCTCACTTAGAAGCATGTTACAGGAAAAGGTTCCCTCCCTAGCAGTGCTTAAACAGCTTAATTATTTGTAAAGGCACCCAAGTGGCAACTTTGCCATCATTAAGACTGTTTTTCAGGATTGTTATGATCTTCCCAGTAAAGATCCAGGCTTTATTTACTTGAGGGATTTTTCCCACACCCTGGTTGCACGAGAGAGGCAAACAGCTACAGCAGCCTCCACAATTCCATGCACGGGAGATGCTGACAGGACCGTAGCCACCATCAGCTTTTACTTTAGCTGTAAATTATGGATCGTACCCTTCCCCTCTCCCTTACCAAGAGCACAGCTCTCTGGACAATCAGCAGCATGTGCCATCTTACCAAAGAAAGGGATGTGGGTACAGGAGCTGGGATTCTCGTGCAGGCTGGGCAACCTGTTGCATTCAGGAAGAGTGAGCAGCATCAGCCCTGGCTTGTAAATCCCCTTCTGAGAGTTCTCCTCCATTGAGAGCCATTCCTTAAAGCAGTAGAGATCCTTTACAGCAAGGCAATTCTCTCTACGTTGTTTTGCAAAAAACAGTGAAATACAGCTGTCAATGGCTTGAAAAAAAAAGGCTGCACTTAGCAGTGAAGTGCAGGAGTTATCAAGCTGACAGAAATCCATTAATGGGGTGACACTTCTTTGAAGCCAGCGTGTCTGGCTCATAAACAATAAAAGAAACTGTATGAAATGCAACAGCTTCCTTTAAGAAACATACAAACCTACATTTTTAATGAAGAAGGGTTATGCTCAAAACACAACACGTACCAAACTATGAGGAGTTCATTCCAATCTTTTTCTACAGATTTTTTTCACATGTTCTTCTAATAAACATCATAGAATGGTTTGTGTTGAAAGAGACATCAAAGATCATCTATTTCCAATTTCCTGCCATGGACAGGGGCAGCTTCCACTCAACCAGGTAGATCAAAGCCCCATCCAACCTGGCCTTGGACACTTCCAGGGATGAGGCATACACAGCTTCCCTGGGCCACCTGTGCCAGTCTCTCACTATCCTCACAGTAAATCATTTCTTCCTATTATTTAATCTAAACCTCTTTCAGTTTGAAGGCGTTCCCTCCATCCTGTCACTACATGCTCTTGTAAATAGTCTCCCTCTCATTTCTAGAGTTAGAATTTTTCAATATATCCTAAAATCTCACTTGGCTTCTGTCATCTACTAAAACCAAAATGTGAGCTGCAATTCTTAACCTTCTTATATTAAATATTTGCATATAATTTTAATCTCACTGAATAAAACCCCAGAATTTTTTAATTGTGTCTACAGGCAACAACTTTAAATCCATTTTTTTCTATGTAGATATCTGCAAATTGCCTGGTAAAAAAGTGACCTGTCTCCCACCTAATGTGTTGCCTCCATAACAATGTGAAATATACACTGACAAGAAGTGCGTTGGATTTTTAAATGGGACTTATATGAGAAATTGTTTGTGGAAAAGGGTGAGGTAGAAATACCTGCACTAGAAAAAAAAGGAAAAGAAAAAAAAGAAAACACACCATTCTGGGAAGTTTGTGGATTTATTATATTGGTCAGTTTATCAGTGATTTGCTTATTTATGTAGCCATTCTTGAGAGCCTGAGTTACAAAATCAACTTTGAGGTCATGTGCAGAGATTTCTTTTGCACAGCTCAGCTGGAGCCTTTCCCAGATCCACAACTCATCACACAATGATGCAGAAAGCAAAATGTACTTCTGGGGTGTGTGGGGAAGGATTTAGCCAAATTCACCACCTGGTGGGTTGATGCAACCTCCTTAATTATACAACAGTTTTGGCAAGAGCAGATGGTCATGAACATCAGCAATGGCTAACAACACTGCAAACCCTCTAAAGCGCCTGAAGGGTCATTGAGAATTCTACTAGAGAAACAGCTTTTCTGCAACAGTAATGGATGCCCCTCAATTCAGCAGGCTGAAGTCATCAATTCCCAGGTACTCTGTGCTTGGTTTTAGCCAGTCCTGGCTTATTCCTTCCTCCCTTCCATGGAAGCCAGAATGCGGCCAGATGGCAAATTTATCTTTTTTATGTTAAACAACATGTGGAACAGGAGTGACCTTGTGAAGTAAAGAAATACTTAGATAGGGAAATGAGAAAAACTTGCATTTGAAGCACTGGCTGAGACCTGGGAGATCTGGACTGAATTAGCTCGGTTCATTCTTGGATCCCAAGCACCGTTAAATAAGCCCTTTATTCAGTGTTCAACTGCAAAACGCAGAAGACCATTCTTCTGCAGTGCTGTCTGCTCCAGGGCTAAAGGAAGGTTATCTGCACCCTGGAAGAATGGTAACACAGCCAGAGGGAGGGTGGTCAGTCACTCCTGGATGGGTTCACACCGCTGTTGTAGCACCCAATGCTGTGCACAGAGGGTTTGCTGAGGTCACAGGCAAAGATTACTTCAGGTTATTATTGGAAATGTTATGTCATGGAAATGACAGATGGACAAAGAGCAGTAATGGCAGAAGACAGCAAGTGTGCCAGGAGTGTTTCTAGGGACCACAAGAGACTATGTAAGGGGAGGTGGGGACACACAGACCCAAACAAGGAAGAACTTTCCCCAACACAAGACTGTTCCCTACAGCCCGATCACTTCCTATCAGCAGTGATTGAAACAGAAACTGGGGGTTGTTCTGCTATTGCAATAGCAGCCAGCAACAAGAGGCAGATGTAATCAAGAATTATGAGATGAGACGTCACTTTCCCTTAAAAACTCTCATTTTAATCAATTTGCATCTAAATTTACATTGAGTGAACTTTCCCCATGTAGTTTTCTTGTTTCATTTCATCTTATTTTACCCCCTGATTACTTTTAGAAAAGTTTTACTCAGCCTGTCACTTGTCATTCTTGCTAGCTAGCTTCCAAACCAAATGAAATTAAAAAAACAACATAGAAAAGAAAAAATGGTGCAGAAAATAAATAATAAGATACAAATACATGGGCATATATTGAGGGCAGTATGTAGCTGAAAAACTGGGAGAGCTCTCCCACATTGGATAGAGTTAAATTCTTACTCATGAAGTATTTCAGCTGAAAACTTGTGTAGTCTAGCCAGCTTCTGCAGAAAGCTATAAAGTTGTCAGTAAAAAGAAGTTAAGAGAATTGGAAAGTAACCAAGACCATGTGAGATGTGTTCAAGAGCCCCCAGACCTCTCTCAGCCATAAAGAAGTCCATAAGATGTCTGAGTTATCAAAAGGAGTATTGGGCTCTGGAAGAACGGCTGTCCAGCTGATGCTCTCTGAGGACAGGAATCAGGAAGGATGCTGTTTCAGAATTTTTCTTATAAAGAAAGCTGCATTAAAATTAGGGTCGAAGGAGGGAGGCATAATTAATAAAAACCAACTCATGAATTTGAAGAAAAATGGTTCCAGGCAAGCCCATTAACATTTAGATATATTAGCAGATGTTGTAACTGTTAGCTCAGGTGCATCAAGATCAAGTGAATATTTATGTTAGTTTATATAATTCTGACTTTAGAAGTGCCCCAGAAGTACAGGTCTTCAGTCAAATCACTATGAGTTCTGGTCCTGCAGGGCCACTCATGGGCAGGGGTAAATGAAGCAAGGCCAAGATCTAACTGAAATACTTTGCAGAGCAATATGCAAAACCCTTAGCTGACTAATGTGTTGTTAATGCATGTGTGGCTGAGATACAAATACTGTCACAGGTCTTGAAAAAAGGCAGAGTGATCATGTGTTTAAGGGCACAATGACAAAGAGCAGAATATTGAGGTGGTAGGGAGGAGCCTGCTAGCAAAAAGCAAATGGTAGTACTTGGCTGCATGACTATCTCTGGATAGTTGCACGTATTATTGTTTCGTAGGATACAAGGCAGCATAGGTACCAAGTAGAAAGCCAAATGTATGGTCAATATTTACAGTGGGATTTTCCTCTGTGCCTTTGTTTTAGAGGTGTTAAAGGAGAAGCAATGAAAAAGGTCCCAATTACAAAACCAACATGTTGCCGATTGTCTTAAAAAGCCCCTACATATCTGGAGAAATTATTGCCATTAGACATCAGGCACAAGTCCATCCAGCAGTGTGCTTGCCATGTCTGTAGAAAAGGTTTGTATTCTTATTTGGGACACTAGAGCTGGGGCTACTCTTCCAGTAAATGCAGATCTGAATAGTATTTTAAAATGTATTTCAAGGAGGACAAGATCAAAGCAGTGCACTTTAGGCAGGGATGTCAGCTGCCCAAATGGGGTATGGGTAATGACTACTCTTTTAGGGGCTGAACATGACAGGAAAGAAAAAGCTTCACCCTGATATGTGTGTGCGGGGCTGTTCTCTGCAAAGCACAGCAGGCAGTCATAATTCTGTTTCATTTAAAAATAACCAAACCTGGACTGGGCAGAAGAGCAAAAACTGTGTGCAGGGCTTGGGAAAACCTGTTTTAATCTAGTCAGAGAATTTGGGAAGGATGTAAAATTTCACTGCAAAGAGGAAAGAAAGAAACTCGCCTCCATGACCATGGTGGGAGGACAAGGAGCAGCAAGGGAAGGGCTGCTCAGGAGGTTGTGTAAGGAGAGAGTAGTGTCTGTCACTGGGATGTGTTTACAAATACCTGTCAACAGTAGATTAGCTATAGTAAGAGATGCTTTGGACTCCTCAGGTTCCCTGTCAGCCCAATTTCAATGCACATTTCTCTGCATACAGAAAGATACTATAACCACATGGTAGTTTTGGTTTATCAGGTACAACTACACAGGCAATGCCTCTGGTCTCATCATTTTTGTCATAGCAGAAAGTACTAAATGATTGGTATATTGCCTTAGCCAGATTTGTTGCATTTTCTGGAGCTGCATTTAGTCAAAATTTGAAAGAAGCAATTACTCTTTATAGAAATAAAAAATATAGATACTGGCCTAGTAAGATAACAATAACAGAAAACAATATGAATTATTGAAACTACTTATGTAATTCAAATTGATACTTCTTTTCAACACAATCTTTCAAACACCTGATGTAATGTAGATGTGTGGACTTCAAATCCAGACCACACCCTAGCAATGAGCACAGTGAGAGCTGAATCAGTCTGTGTGTACAGAAGAGAGAGCAAAGGGAAAACCTGTGCAAAGCTAGAGGGCCCAGCTTCAGTCAGCTTCACTTGCTACTGCAAGCAAGCCTGGACAGTCCCTCACCACTCCCCTGCTGCACACACATCCCCACAAAATGAAAGTGAAATATGAGCATGTTTTTCTTCATTTACCTGCACACTGGCTTTGGAGCTGGCCCAGCTCCTGAAGGATTGCACTCCTGGAAGATGTAGTTACACAGCAGAGACTCAGCAGCCGGTTGGCAGAATGAACTCACCATTTTCAGTTCAGTCCAGGCAGTGTGCACAAGCAACTCTTGGGTCTCCTCTGGGTCAGCATACGAGGAGTTGAAGAAAACAAGAGCATTCTTCGCCAAGATAGCACTACACACCTCACCTCTGTATGTGCTGCAGTAGCCTGCGTCACCCTTGTACAGCTTGCTGTCGAGGACAAGAGCACACACACACAGACAAAGAGTAAGCTCACAGACCTGAACAGCTGCATGAGCACAATGGCCCTGTTTCTGAATAAAGTGGCATGTGTAAGGCTAACAGGGCAGAGGACATGGTAGATGTTTATACCACTAAAACCAGCTATTATATCACAAGAATGAAAATTCTGCAGGGTACCCTGGTACCAGCCCAGGTGAGCTCCAGGGAGGAGGCTCTGACCAAGTGTTGTTAAGGCTGAGCAATCACAGAGAACCATGACCTAGCATAGCCCCTCATCCTGCCTCTGGGCTCTAATGGGAAAGTATTTTACTTTCCTGCTTCCCTGCAGTAGGGATCAGCCATGCTTCTTGCTTGCATTGCTTGCAGTTCTGTGGTAACTCAGGATTTTTCACTCTGCTGTCTAACAAGAGTTAGAGTTTAATGTAAGATAGAGTTGATGAACAGGAGCCAGGTAAGTTCAACCCATCGTGTACCAGGGAATTTTCCACAAGGTCAGACCAAGCTCCTGCCTGCCCTTCCACAGCTCCTGCACCATTCCTGACCTGTCCCTCTTCCACACCTTTAGCTGGGGAACTCAGAGATGAGGAAGGCACAAGTCTTTGTGTTTTCCTTCCCGGTGTTTTTCTGCAAGGTGCATCTTTTCACCACATCTCCCATTTTGCTAAGTCCTGACACATAGCATGGAGACAGAGCTATGCAGGAGCAGTAAAATCACAGTAGGGTCATCTTCTTTGAGGGCCATTTATCATTCCCATGTTAGTTGTATCTGGAAGGAGATCTCTTCCCCCTCCCTTCCTCCCTACATTCCCATGGCCATCAAAAGCAAGCAGCAGGGCAAGGGCAGTGCACAGACCAGCCGTGCTTCCAGTGGCTCCCACAGTCACCCACCAGCAGCCAGGACTGCCAGTGAGGAGGTGCCCTCTGCCCAGGCAGCCCATGGGATGCAGAGTCCTGGGTACGGGAGGCAAAGCTGTGAAAACAGATTGCCTGTGTGTGGGGCATGGCCAAATCAGGGCAGAGAGGAGGGCTGGGTGCAGCTGTCCCCACTGCCATTCTGTCAGTGTAACTGGGGTCAGAGAGTTCAATTCACAACATGCCAACCATTTGGAGCAGTCAACAGAGCTATTTGTATCTTTGCCTTTTATTTCTTTCCCTTGTCCAAATAATCACCCATTGTTAACTCTGGGGTTTCTTGCTGATTTTTTTTTTTTTTTTTTGGAAAGCTGGAGGTACATGGACAAAGGATTACACAGGATGCTCACATTTCTGTTCTTCAGATGCTATTTCTGCAGATGACAATCCCTGGCCCTGTTTTAGTTGCTCTNTGCTCTATTTTGGGCTCCATGTGAATTTTTTCTTTTTTTTTTTTTTTTTTGGAAAGCTGGATGTACATGGACAAAGGATTACACAGGATGCTCACATTTCTGTTCTTCAGATGCTATTTCTGCAGATGACAATCCCTGGCCCTGTTTTAGTTGCTCTATTTTGGGCTCCATGTGAATTTTTTCTTTAATTTTTTTTTCTGTGTTACACTGGATAAAAATTACAAGAAGGCACCAATCCTTTGAGGTTTACCAAAATGGCAGTGATGCTCTGACACTGTATCATCTCAGGCTCCATGGACACACTTTCATGTGACACAGGAGTCTCCCAGCATGCTGCATGAGTCTCACAGACCATGAAATCTTCCTGCACACAGCAGGTTTCCCCAAAGCAATGCACCAATCCCAGCACCCTGCTGGAACTGCTCTTGGCATGGCAGGGGTCATGTTATTTGCATTTCCCTGATGATTCCCATTGTGCTTAATTTGAAAGTTGCATCCTTCCTGTGGCCAGGGGCAAAAGCAGGGACAGGTGTGCATGGGGCTGTTGTGCTGCTGACTTCAGGGGACTTCAGAGGCAGACCGAGAAGAGCTAACAGTGCTAACATAATGTTTCCTTGCTTTTATAAAATATGCAAGGGGACACAGACCAAGTTGCAATGGAGAAGTAGCAACAACATGTTTCTCACAATGGTTTGTCACAGAAAGGAAATATAATGCAGCAAATGTTAAGAACACCTATAGGACAGATGGGCTGAGCACTTGGTCTGTGTCCCCATGCCTGTCATACCTGCAGGGGTGCAGGTGTAAGGCGTAAGTCTGCCATTGGGTGGTCACTTAATCACTTACAAACTTCCTGAATCAACCTTGCAAGCTCCTGTGATGAAAGCAATAGCCTTTGCAGGGAGCCTGTGTCAGCAGAGTGGCAAAACCATTTGCTCAGACTTTCCCAGGCTCTGCTCTTTTCTGTGGTGGCCAGAAACTGCCAGCCCATCTCCCAGGCTAACATTCTCATTTTCCTTCCAGACTGCTCAGCCAGTGCACTGTGTAGAAACATGGAAGGATTCTAAAGAGAAAAGACCCACTAAATTGTTCAGTCCTGCAATAATTACTAAGCAGAAGTTCATTTCTCATTGCATGTAAGTGGCTTTATTCATCCATAACTCTGCTTGGAACAAACAATCTTCTCCTGCCCTGATCTGGTGAGCAACAAACCAAATTACATTTATTAATTGTGAACAAGTAGGAGTTTACCTTGCAGTTAAGCTTTGCCATGAACATTTATAAGGTCAAGGCAAACTGTGGATCTGTAACCAAGCAGAAGTTTCTTCAGAATATTCTTCCCACTACCATATTTCAAACAGCCTTACTGCTGGCTTGACTCAAAACAATTGTTAACTACCCAAGCTTAATCTCCAGTTATGCCTTTGTAAAGGAGATCAGTGATCCCTATGGGTGAACCTCCTATGCACAGTTGGAATGAGAGAACCCTACCCCTTAATTTAAACCAAATTTACCAGACCCCCTTGGCTCATTATTTTTCTTCTCCCTGGCCCAGAAAGGGCCTCCACAAAGCCACAGAAAATCATTCTTACCTCCATTCTGCCAAGAGGCACCAGATCCAGGAATTGGGATGAACCAGGAGAAAGAAGAAATGGAAAAGACATCAGTAACACTTCATTGCTCCCTCTGAGATTCATAAGTCAAGATTTCCATGCTAGGAAATGTATCTGACAACTGTAAGCTGTATGAAAAAAAATGCACCTAAATTCTATTCCTTTGTTTGTATCTTCTTGTGGGGAAGAAAAGTTGGCCAACATTGAACACTGTAAAGTGAGAAAGAAGGAGGAGGAAGTGGATTGTTGATGGCAGTGCCAGCTGAAGTAGACTCTTGCACCATAAACCCACACTTTTATCCTGGTCCTTTGGGTCCCTTGTAACCAGCAGGCAGCATCCTGTGTTTAAGCCACATGGATATCCATTACTTGAGGCAGCAGCTGTAACAACCAGGAGATGCCAGGGCTGGGGATGCAGCAGCGGCACACAGCAGTGGCCCTGGCTTGCCGTGCCACAGGGATCTGGGCAGTGCCAGCACAGGGAGGAGGCACTGGGCACCAGCCAAGCGCCAGGGCACCTCTCCCCTTGGAGCCTCGTGAGCTGGGGCAAGGCCAAGGCAGACTCCTGCTCAGGTCTAGGGGGTAGTTCTCCTCCTGCTGAGCACACACAGCCTGGAGGAGTAAAACTTCCACCAGCCCCAAGTACCTGTTCGCCCCACTGCATTTGTAGGACACACACTTGCCTGGGCTGAAAGCAGAAGTGGGGATGGGAAATTCAGTACCAAATGCTGACTACATTATGGAGCAGAGATTACTGATAGGTTTCAATGCCCAGTGTAAGAAAGGGCATGATTATTTTATCAAGAAACTAGAAGCTAAGGCACTGAGAGATAAACAAGTACCTGCCTGGTTAAAAGCAGAACCAGGGCTACCTTCCCATGTCCAATTTGATTCCTGGTTCCTCACTAAGTCCCCTTGCCTGTCCAAAGAGGGATGGGACAAGCTACCACCTTTCTCTCTGTATGACAAATGCTGTTAGTTAGCTCTGACAGAGGTATTTCTCCTCTTTGGAAATTAATTTTCACATTTGGGAGACATCTCTGAGGGAAGAGATAACTTCAGGCAAGGCAGGGTACTACTCTGACAGCAACCACCCTGCTTTCTGGATGCCAACCCCTTGTGAAGCTGAACTGCTTGAAGCTATTTTCACTTTGCTGTTAGATGATACCAACGCTGGGTCATGGCCACAACTTCCTCCATATGGATGAACTTACCAAGTGTGCTTCTGGGACACAAAGTACAAGACAGCATCAAACATTCAGGAAATGACAGCTATGCCCGTCTCCAAAGTGTAAGAGTATATGAGGAAATAGCCTGGTGGAGGATGTACTTGTACTCAAATTTAGGCCCCCACACACTATCAGCTCTCCAAAGCTTCCCCTCTTCCACCACAGTATTCCACATCCCTTTCCTCTTCCCCAGCAGGAAAGGCTAAAAAAATTAATGGCCTCTTCTTTCCCTGCATACCTGAAATGCTGATTGTTGCTGCTGCTTTTGCAGCTCCAAAAGTTTTGCTGTGCTTGTTTGTGGCAAGACAAGTGAACAGGCCAGGTCGGGTGACATACACTTGCAGTCTGGAATCAACCACTCTGTCCTTGACGGTTTCTGCTATCGACCCCACAGAAACCTGAAAGAGTGAAAGCCCAGCTCAGTAACATTTCCAACAAAGACACAAACAGGCAAACCAAGGAAAAATCTGAGACAGAGTCCCAGGCATTTAAATTGGCAGAGGAAGATGTGGTAAGGAGACAAAAGTGGCAGAGACCTAAAGCTGCTGGTGCTACTTTGGCCCTTTCACAGCCGCCGACTTCACACACAGAAATAAATACTAAAAGATCTCTCCTATTTCACACCTCAGCAATACTTTTGCAATTAGGTTTCAGTTCAAGAGGGTCATAGTCACAATTTGGTTTATGCAATTGAGCTGGCTAATTACTACACAGCTTCTTGTAGTAGATAGTTTGCCTCTTCATGCCTTAGGAAGGAACTGCGCAGGATGACTTTGTGAACATCCGCTATACAGAGGAAGAAAAGAAAATAGTTTGGAAGTCATTGATTCTGGATAAGTATAATCATTTCAATACTCTCAAAGCAGTCATGAGCACAGAAAGTGCTCTGGCTACAATAATTCAGCAGATACCTGATATATTTTCTTATCTCACCGCTAGAAATGTGGAAGGGGCTGAAAATATGATGATTTTGGCCAGCTCTTTTCCCATATCAGTAATTTGCAGTTAAATGAGCTTGAAGCCTGCTGATTTTGGCTAGTTGGCCTTGATTTACCAGCAAGTCTTTCCTGCCAACATGGTATTCATCAAAGTAGGAAAGCATGGCACATACAGACTATATCTTGCAAAGGCAGGAGGAAGGAGAGTATTGCCTGCTCTAACCTTCATACTGATAAGAAGCATCAAACATAATTCAAGCAAGGTATGTTGCCTGGGGACCCCCTAGGTGTAACCAACTCTAAGGACTTTGGAGATTTTCTCCCTGGATTCACCCCAGCAAAGCACTCTACCTTCACATGTAACTAAGACAGAAGTATTAATCTGACCTCCCTGGAGGTCAGTAAAAATATGCTTTCAATGAGACCTTTCAGTGAAATGAAATATCAATTGTATTGATAGCAATAATCGAAAAAACTAGGAAGTCATCAGTGTTTTTCCTTGTTGTTCCATGTCTTGTAAGCAGATTGGATTCTCTATGAAAAGAAAATGATGAAAAGAATATATTTGTTTTGTGTCTCTCAGTGTCAGCTTAGACTTGTGGTGAAAGAATGTTCATGGGAAGAAATCACTAAATAATCAGACCAATACAGTTTTTAAGTACTGCACCAGGTATGTCAGCCACTGTGCAAATGAAGGGACCAGGGATATATTTGGCCTTATAACATGAAGTCAGTTCAAGAGGGTGGGAGCCCAGGGGATATTTTTTCACAGATATGTCTTTTGTTACAGAGCTGCTCAAATTTAGTTTTAGACTCCTTTTCTCTCCAGAAACCCCTCAGCACTAAAATGGTGCAGGGACCTTCTCAGTGGGAAGGAGGTATTTCCTATAGCCCTCCCTGCCTTCCAGCATCTTGGTGGGATAGGTGGCTGCTTGCCATGAGCAGCTTGTGCTAATCCAGTCTTCTCTCCTGCTGGCTCCTCAGGCCTCAGGTGTTCCACATCTGGCAGCACTGGACTGTGCCTGCTGAGCACACAGATAACTGGGATTGTTCCTTCCAGCTTGGGACACAGGAGGAAGAGGTTCCTCAAGTAACCGCAAGCAGTACAAGCAGTATGCACCGTGTACAGTGGCAAATCACAGGCAGTGGTGCCTAGGACTTCCACACTGGCCTTCTGTTGTTTGCTTTACTGGAAACTTCAAGATGTTCCCTTGTGTTAACTGATTCCCTTTCCGTTTCAACCACATTTCCTGAGTTTTTTTTTTTTTCCAGGAGTTCTCTTTTTAGTCTTTAAAACATCACTTCAGCTACCAGGAAATTACAGACCTCTTCATATCTTCACACCTGGCTCATTTATTCCTGGATATGTGGAAAACTACATTATAAGGTCCATGATGCCCTGTGGTGCATAGCAGGAGGAAAATGTATTGTGTTTCTAAATAGGTAGGCCAGGCAACTGCTGCACGGAGGAGTTTCCTCCTCCTTTTCCAAGGAAGCTCAGTAAGCTCAGCAGACTCCTGTTCTTTGAACCTCAGGACAATTACAGGTTGGTGTTCAGAAACCATAACGCCACAGGCATGCTGCATCTTCAAAGGACTCACCCTTGCTGTGAACCAACCCTCAAATTCACCATGCCCCATCCACTGCTGACTCTCCCAGAGACAGGCTCTCATTAAGGTTTCCTTGCCATATTTAACATGAGGCAATCAGGAACACTACCCTCCTGGGACTGGGCTATGCCTTTCAGACAGCAGTGGGGCAGATCAGATATGACCAGTCAGACAGTGGTCCAGGCAGGGCCATCATCTCATGTACCTCAGCTCTCTGTGGGATCCACTCACTGGGATCTCAGCAGAGTACAGGTCTGTGCTATGAAAATATATTGCTCTTTCCAGGTACCCCTGACCCCTGCAAAAGGTCGCATTCCCAGTGGGTAAGAAGTCTTAAATAAACTCCTACAGTTGTCTCAAACTAAATATTGTCAGAAACCACCAAGAACCCATGGGTCCCAGCAGAGGCTGATCTGATCCCTTTGCTGCTCTGCCTAGCAACACAGAAGGAATATAGAAAATTAGCCCTAATCAGACTGGAGGACACAGTAAGGTATAGAGAAGGCAAGGAAGGAAGACAGCCTGCAGAGTAGCCATGGGGTCTTAATAACTTGTTTTAATGTGTGGAGAGAGGAGATACAAAACAAGATAGTGATAGCCCCTTGAAGTAAGAACCAAGGGGATTTATTGGTCCTCTGGACCAGCAAGTCCACAGGAATCAGGATCAGCCTATGCTCAGAAGGACTCGGGGCTGACAGGAGGTCCATGAGAAAGAGCAAAAGCAGATCACCAGCCTGCACTCAGCAGACACTCCACCTGCCTCCACAGAATCATGCCCTGGAGATCACGCCCTTTAAAAAGCTGTCAAAAGACCAAAGAGAGTATAAAACGTGTTCATCTTAAGTGCATGAAGACTAGAGGGAAGCTATGGCAGGCTTGGGCTGCAATGCTACCATGACTGGTTCCCTGCTCACTCCCACACAGGCAATATTAGACATCAAGCAGGTATTCAGCTCACTGATATGAAGGCATTGCAACAGCCTACACACAGGCATGAAAGCCAGGCAAATTGAAAGCAAGCACCCATATTAAGTGGTCAGGATCATTACACCACAGAAACTTTCCTATGAGACGCAGTGGATTTGCATTCTTTGGTGCCTGCCACTGAAGAGGGTGTGCCTTTCTTAAGAAGATGTTCCCACCCAGGCATAAATTCATGAGATATTTCACATCACCTAGGTCAGCCTAGAAAATTTCAGATCTATTATCTTCTTCAAATATCCTGTGCATAATGCGGTTCCACAGGTATTTGACCTCAAAACAGGTCCATCTAACTCCATGTCATATTTGACATATTTGTCAGATATGCAATTTTCCTTATTATTGTTACCATGTTATTAAAAAAGGAAGGGAAAGATAGCTGCAGAAAGACACAATGAAGTCCTAGAAATTCTGTCTTGGAGGATGGTTGGAAAGATCTAAAGCGCCCTTCTTGGGCTTTTTAGATCCTAACAAATTAATCTTGGGCTTTTTAGATCCTAAAAAATTAAGTAATACAACACCGTGGATAAGGGGGACAATATTTTTCCAGGGAAAACTGCAGCAGAGAGATGAGCTGGACTCAACCAGTTTGAAAAACAAGGTGCTAAGTTAGGAAGGAATAGAAATCACTGGTGCTGACTACCAGCCCTTCCAGCTGATAGCAGTCCTCCAGTGCCAAAAACATGAAAAAGAGGCACTTACAGCTTTCCCATTTTCCAGCCAGGTGACAGTAGGGACTGGAATGCCGGTCGCTGTGCACCGCAGTGTCACCACGGACCCAAAGGTGATGTTTTGGGATTCAGGAGCCTTCAGGATTCTGGCAAACACTGTAAGAGAAGACAAAGGTGCTAGTTGAACAATAATGTAATGCTGAGGCTGGTGCCTGGGGGTACTCCTTGATGTAAGTCACAGCTCCATGAATAAAAGTAGAGCACGAACAGGCTTCCCATGAGGAGGACAAAAAAAAATATTTACATTCTGCAAATAGTTACATTCTGCACCTTATGGACCATAAGTTTACCGCTGGAAATTTGTGTCAAGTCCAAAGCCTAGAGGAGGTAATGTGCAAGAAAACCGAGAGGAAACTCTTTGGTAGCATGCAGATGGAACAGCTTACAGCAAAAAAAGCAGCAAGTTACCATGCTGCCCTTCCCCGGCTGACCTGTGAAACTTTGTCTGAACCATTAAGAACCACCAGTATGGATATGTGCCATGAAGGCTAAGGGTCAGATAAACATCTCAGTCTGATTGCAGTGATGAAAACTTGCCACGGAGTGCTGCAAACACTGGCATTTTCCACACAACAACAAGCTGCCCTGAGGGAAAATGTCTAACATCAAGCATTGAGGTATGAGAGAGTGGCTGGCAAAAACTTTAGGAAGATGAGATTGCAGTGGAAAAGTAGATTTTTGAAGTGGCTTCTCATTTCTACAGCTCTTGCTTCTTTTGTGGACATATGGTTACTGGGCCCCCTGCAGAAAAGTGACATAAGCATTCCCTTCACCCAGCCCCCTTCCGTTTTTGTTGTTGTTTTTTGTTGTTGTTGGGTTGGGGGGGGAGATAGGGAATGGGGGGATTTGGAATTGGGGAAGGGGGCAAGGGTGAGGACTGTTGGCCAGAAATAACAACTGAAATATTTTTTGCTGAAAACTTATTTTGATCCAGAAACACAACCCTGATGGTCTTAACAAGCTGCTGTACTTGGACCACATAGAGAAAAGCAGAGAAGAGAAACTTCCCACCTGGAACATTTGAGTTTTGACCTAAAATTTTTAATGGAAACACCAGAATGTCTGTACAGAAGCAGGCTCAAAAGCACTGCTATTTCTTACTCAAATTTCTCATGCTTAGTGAGTTACACCTTCTAGACCACACAGTAATGTCTAAAAATCTCCATCAGAAATTATAAGAAGCTGGGAAGTTTCTCTTAGTGTTGTCAGAAAAGCCTGAGATCTTGTTTGCCACTTTTATCTGTGTGTTTTTCCTTATCAACATACCTCACCACGTCAGCATCTTCTGTTTGCCCTGTTCAGAATTAGAGCATTTAAGTGTTCCCCTTAGTGTTCCCAATAGTGTCCCCACTATTTGGGATGGAAAGGCTTTGTCTGCAAAATTTCAGTTGAACTGAAAAAAAGTATGTGCTTTCCACATAGTCCTTCCACCCAGTTCTCAGCTAGTATGCAGCTGAGGTTTGTTTTGACAAAGAGCCTAAAAACAGCTTTTGCTCATAGATAAGTAGCAGTCGGAGTTAATTTCAGCACGGAATCCTTTTTGCCTTTCAATAATCTCTTGGGCAGAGGCTTTTTGGAAGATTAAGTTTAGTGTTAGTTAAGTGAAAATGGCGAGAGGATAAATATTATATTGAGCTTCTTAATTCTGCTGCATGCTTCAAGCAATCCCACTGTCTCTGCTCAGTGCCACCTGCCTAAAGCCAAAGCAGAGCAGTCTCAGGCTTCTGCACCTCCTTACCCCTCAGCGAGGCAGCAGGTATGAAGCTCCATCAGTAATAAGCAAAGCTGCAGTCACTGGCCAGAAGCTTTTCTCATGAAAAATAAGTAAAATGAAACCTTTGTCTGAAGTTTCACTTCAGGCCATTAACACCAGATGGTTATGAATTCGGACCCAAGTTTTGCAGGCTAAGCTCATAATTATTTTTATACTTCATTTGGAGAAATACTAAACTTTGGGGCCTGTCCTCTGGCAGCAGTTACGTTCACATGGCTCCAGCTGAAGCCTGCACGTTTCCTTCCAGGGTTGGAATATGGCCCTTAGTGCTTCTCTTGTGCTGCCCAATATGCTGCTGGGACCCTTGCCCACCTGATGCTGCTCTCTGACTCTGCTGCTCAGTTAAATTAATACCAAAGTGACAAATTACCAGCGCCCAGTTAGCTGATGCTGGATGGTGGCATATATGTCCTCCTCTGTACTAGCTGATCTCCCAAAATCTGCTAGGATCTTTCAGCCAGGAGGAAAAAAGACACACTTTGAGAATGGCAATAGCACAGGCAGGGTGCAAAGCCACAGCAAGCACTATGGCAGGCTCAGCTCATGCCTGGCATGGTGCCTATGGGGAGGTCAGAAAGCTGCATTCCTCCTCCCAGTGTCCAACCATCAGCACTGATAACTGCACTCGCTTTAGTAGCCCAGCACACTGCTAGGTAAGCAGTTGTCTGCCACCATAGGCAAGGTAAAGCATCAGGCCATTCTTAAGATCCTAAAACACCAAATACTGGGACTAAAAAATCCAGCAATAGCTCCTAAACTTTCACATGTTTCTAGTGGCAAGTACTGCAGGGAGGGATGGCTAAGTAAAATTTGGCCTATAAGCAACTAAGCTGATTTCCAAAGTGTGGAAGAATTGAAATTCCTTCTATCCCCAGGGCTATCATGTGCATTTTTCAAGACCTTCAGAATTAAAGTTACAGATTTAATTCTTTAACATTTCAGATACTTACATTTGCATGCTTTCAAATATCTTACTTAAGTATGAAGCTGTAGATGGTACTACTGGAATAAACTGGTGGGGGGGGGGCAATTAAGGGAATTAATTATTTTATTTTTAAATGAGAAATTTCCTGGGACAAGGACCAGACTTTCCGGGTCCTAAGAGGTTTTGGAGCATAGCTGATCAGCCGATCCAGGGACATATTTTCCAAAGGGCTCTTAATCACTTTGAGAAAGAGTATTAAAAAAATAGTATCACCAATTTGTCAACCACATAATCTATGGGTAGATGATCAACACATTGACATTGCTGTCAGACTTGAGTGCTGTGGGAAAGTCAGGATGGGTTGCATAAGTGCAGCCAGTGTCACCATCCACCTGTGCAAAGCAGGGCAAGAACACCAGGATGAGCTCAGGGTCCATTTTGGCAACCGCATGAGCAACCAAATCTGTCCTGTATCTAAATGGCAGAACACATACCCCACAACCATGATTTTTCTGCCCCCTCCCTCTCCTCCCCCAACCCCCAATTCCACAAGTAAAGACAAGAGGCAAAGGCAAGTAGGAAATGGCAAATCTGGTGGTAACGTAGTTGGCAGGAAGAGGTATGTGAAAGACAAGAAGAAGGATCAGGAAACAGAAATAAATGTTTGTAAAATTCTTTTTTTTTGGTGGGTTCATGACCTTTTCTTATTCTCAATTTTCCTCAGAGTGAAAATTTCCAACAATCAGTGATTTCTAATGCTTCCATTACTTGTTTGTCTTTTGTCTTTTTCCACATCCTCCTGAATTTGGATTTTGCCTTTGCTACATTACTATTACTATTTTTACTATTACTACTATTACTACTTTGCCTAGCTACATTACTATCACAAGATTAGCAACATTCTTATCAATACCCCTTGGCTGTCTGCACTGGATTCACCCACAGGCATGCCGAAAAAGCAGTTAGGGAAAGTGGGCAAGGACAGCTTAATTTATTTATTTATTTCAGTGGAAAATAAAACAGATGAGCTGTAAATGAAATCCAGACAGCTGAAAGCCAAGCCAGCATGTCAAATTTCACTCCCAAGCCCCTTAATAAATGTATTTTTTACAGCCTTGGTAAATGATGTTCTGTGCACTGCAGGGCTTGCTAGGAGGTATCTTTACCGTGGCCAGCTGCTCTCGTTTCTGAGAATTACGTAACATCATCCAGTCCAAACAGTAGAGCTTTAATTCACTCACAAAATTTTTATACTATAAAAAGATTAAAGCAGTATGCCCTCCCCCCTGCCTCCACATTGAATGGCTAACTCTTTCCAGGTGACTTTTTTTCCCCATTGGCTTTGATGGAGTTATGTTTAATTTCCCAGGTTTGGGGTCTGGTCCCGCAGTCCTGGCAGATGCCTGCCCTCAGTCTGGGTAAGGCCTATTTTTTGTTAAAGAAGGCTGGATTTGGCCAGTCACAACCAGACAGCTGTGTAGGTGGCCTGGAGCCATGTTGCTGCTTTGGGGAAAGGACAAAATGATGCCCAGAGCACCAGTGATGCTGTTTGTTTTTTTGCCTTTTTACTTTAATATGCTCTCTGTATTCTTCACACATACATTTGTAGCTCTGTAGCCTATTGTACTAGTTGCTGGTTTTCCCAGTACTTTTCCATGGCCCTTCCCGAGGCAGAAAGACAAAAGAACTTGCAGAGCTCCAAGCCATGGGAGGTGCAGGGCCCCTCTGCTGTCTTGGTTCCTCCTGGGAACCAAGGCCTACAACAACTCTTTGGGACACATTTCATGGACAAAGCCCAGCTAGTGCTGAGTGGGGGACTCCAGAAAAGGGGCTTGACCTGGGGAGGGGGGCGGAATTACATCAACATTTGTCCCCCTAATTGGTGCTTTTTATCAATTATGCTAATTTCCTAAAACCTACAAAAATGCACTTATCCTTGGGAGGGTGGGCTTTTGTGGACATCTTTCCATAACTGCCCCTGAAGGCCTTCAAATAAAGATCCACTCTTATATTATGTCCTTACTAAAATGGTCTTGAGTTTCAGTTCCAGGTTGGGAAAAAGCCAACACCAGGATCACTCAAGCACTAGTTTTGGGATGTGGGGTAGGTTGCTTTTTATCCAGAGGCCACAGTTTCTTTGGTGAACCCTGAATTTAAGAGAATATGAGCAACACTTTCCCATGTATGTGGATTAACTTAGTCTGTCAACATCCACAGGTGTTCACATCCAAGAGTTTGTTGGCAGAGTCCTGTCATGCTGTAAAGCATCTGCATCCCCCGTAGTCCAAAGCAAGGTAAGGCCACCAGGAGCTAACTTTGTGTTGGGAACTGCCTGGCAACATTCCCTTCCCACTGCAGCCAAAGCCTGCTCTTATACAGGAGCCAGACCCAATGTGC